GCTTCCCTGCAACCCCGTGCTTCCCTGAAGCCTCGTGCTGACCGAACCTGACACTTTTTACAGCATTTAAAGCCTCCACAGCTTCAGGATAAAGGCCTTTGTGTGTAGCTAGAACATAGAATATATCTGCTTACAACCCATGAAGAGGAATTAACTTGATTAAGGGGGTAGTTGTGATATTTATGAAGAAAGATTAAAGAAGTTAAAATATGTTCAGCTTGGCTAAATGTTAAATTAAGATAGAGTTAGTGGGAATAAATTAGCACAAGTGCAGAGAAATTTTAAAAGATATATAAAAGGCCATCTTGATATTTGTCAGTGCTCCAAGGATACTCTCTAGCTTTTACAAGCTCCTCTCTCTTCAGGTAAAATAAAATTGGCAGTTCCTACTCAGGAGACATTATATTATTGTGAAGAAAATCCAATGACAGACATTTAGGCCCTTATTATATATTTGCCACAACTAATTTTCTTATCTTGAATCACAACTTGTATATTTTATCACAATTGTAAAACTGAAATAACATATAGGAAGGCAGGATATAAATCTTGGTAATAAAATGCTCACTGCATCATGGAAGCAGAATATCACAAGTTGATCTACTATTCCATCACTAAACTGAGAAAGAAAATGTTTAATTTTATTTGTCCCTTCTCAATGCATAAAGAAATAGTAAGAGTAGCTACTGCTGCCCTAAAGTAAAATGTTTGAAATGTAATGTAAGAGACACTTAGTATGAAGAAAGCTGGCAAGTGAATTTGTCTTCCTTTATCCTATGTTTCTCCAATCTGGTGCCCAAGAAATTTGTTGGATTCTATTTTCTGTAAACCCAGCTAGTTTGCTGAGATTACTGATTGCTTTGAACAAGTGACAATAGGCAGCAGCTTACTCCTAGGCCTTTTTATTTAACAACAGAAATTGTGCATGGACAGTGGGAAGAGATACTGTACATTTCGTTGCTTCATCAAAATAGTGCCATTTAATATTTGTTCTTTTTGTTACTTCACCTTAAGTATAACATAAAAATGCCTGTATAATAGCTGATTTTTGTGAAAATGCCTGAGAGCAGATTTATTAATATTGTAAAAGGCAGATATACTGTCACTGTACTTCTGAAGAACTGAAGCAGCCATTATATGACATGTTATTCGTTTTAGATATTGCCCAAGATTGATGGACAGAGATTACCAGAAATAAATTAAGAAAAGATTATTGGTAGGTCACCATTTCAATAAAGTATTATAAAGGCATACTTCTTCAACAAGGAAAATCAGGTAGGAATGCATGTCAATATCCTTATTCTGTTTTCATGGGAAACTAAGGAACTCTGGGAAGAGATGAATCTATGCTTGGCAAATTGATAAAGTGCATGCCTCAAATGATGTTATATCATTTGTGTCGTGATAACTGTGTAAGACTTAAAGCATAACTGAGGGTTTGTAGAACTATTGGGTTTGTATAAATATACCACAAGTCACTGTGTTGTATTCCACAGAAATTACGTAGCTCCATTTTTCCTACTATTTTCTGCCAGGAAAGCATTAGTAATATCTAATACAAGTCCTTATGCTAGCTGCAATGTGGTTTAGTTTGGTTTAGAGCAGGAGTGCAAAAAGTGGAGCCCTCCAGCATCCTTTTTATGCCTCCCCCATTTGATCCACAGTGGATGAAGCCAAAGTTTAGGTCACATTTTAGAGTTTTGGAAAGTTTTAAGAGGGTTGTTAAGACAGGGCTGCCAGATCTGGGTAGCAAAAATTCAAATGGACACTGGATGGCAGCAAAGTGACACAGAAAACCCTTACAAACATCATGTGGTTGTCCAGAGTTTTGCAGCCAGATTTGATAGTCCTAATCAAGGAGCAAACTAGATTCCTGAAGGTTTATAGATGCTTAAGGTACTCCTTTCACTCCTTACAATTCCTGAAACTCCATCCCCAAACATGCTCAAAACATACTCACTGCTGAATTGTAGTTCTCAACACGCAAAGCACAACCTGATGTGCCTCTCAAGCTTACAGAAGTTGTGCATCTCTGGCTTAGCATATTGTGAGAACCTTGACAATTGTGTTTTGTTTTATAAACCATTAGTTCAAGACCTAATGACTGCATTCTCAAAACATGCTAAGCTTGATCAGTTTTTTGTCTTGGTTGGAGGAGGGCATAGCTTATTGTACAAACTTAGTCTATTTGATTAGTTTCTAAATCAGTGTGTTATATGAACGCAGGTTAATTCAGTAAATAAGTGGATTGTGCAAGTCCAACCATAATTTAGTGAATAAAGCACAGTAGTTGTGTTCATACAACATATTAAGAAGCAGTTACAAACTAAATAATTCAGTTCATGAAACTCTAAACCATAGGCAGTGCTTATATGTGCTAAGCCAAAACCAGCCAAATCACATTAATTTTCCGTACTGAGTGAATTCAGCCATTATATTTTATGATTTACTGTATCATCTATGTCACCTGACATAGGTGAAAATCTACATATGCTATTGCCTTTACACAGAAACTATTCCATACACTTCTAGTGTCTGAGAGATGCAGCCTTCTATTTCTCCAAGCCTTGTTAACATTTTCCCACTGCTTGTTATGAATTACTGTGTCTGTATCCTATTTATAGTGTTTGTTCTCTTCCAGTGCAACAGGAAGCTTTTGTCTGCTCTGTTTAAAAGGTTAAACTCTGCTTGTCTTGAGAATAGTCAGCACAGGAAGATGTTTTTCACTGTGTTAGTTACAATCAGGACATAAAAGGCTTTCTACCAGGGCAAAATGGAATTTATCCTAGTGGACAACCCCAATGGTATGTCAGGCATTCATTGCTGCATCTCTGAACAAGAACAGCTTGTACTGTTGATTGTCTGCCAGCTAGTGTTGGCTACTGTTAACTGCACTTTCTTCCCCCCAACCAAAGTCTTTAGCATAATAACACTTACAGCATAATGGAAAAGCTAACTTTTCTGCTCCATTTTTTTCCTACAGCTTCTGCTTGTCTGATGTGAGCAGCAGTAAAAAAGGTAAACTATCACATTCAATATTTACATGAAAAAATAAAACTAAGTATCTAATCATAATACCCATGACACAAAGTGCGATTTTCAAAGTGGGATTCCCAAAATATGAAAAACCTACATGGGTAGAACTTTATATAAGTAGGCCTCTTTTTGAAATGTGCTGGCCATAGGGGCATTAAGATGGGCCCATAACTAGCAGTTGGTTTTGAGATATAGTTTCACTCCATCCTCCATAGGTTAGATAATATGCATTCAGGAGTGGAAATATCTCAACATATTCTAAGGTTTCCATACTTCCTCTTTCAAAGCAGCCTGTTGGACCAGTTTTTTTTTTAAGATTTTGTAATATGCTGGTAAATTTTTAAAAATTGCTGGTTGAACAGGTAGCAAGCAGTGTCCCAAAGGTAATATCTGTGGCCCATGGCTTTTATGCCAGCTGTGCCTCTGGACTGATTTTTTTTGGAACAAATCTGGACTATTTTAAGGTATATCATTTTAGCTTCTTGTTTTAGAGAACATCAGATGAAGCTTTTCTTTCTGGACAAATTAAAATTGCTTTAAAAATTATCCTGGCATAGTTATTGTGAAAAGAAAAAGGAATCAGATTGGGCAAATTCATTTCACAGCTTTCTCTGAGGAACCTTTCCAAAGTCAGTCAAGATAAGAGTAGATCAATAGATGAGTGGCAGTCTATGAGGACACTTGCCCACTATCAGTCAACAAGAAACATATAGGACTATGTTAAAACAATATATTTAATGCTTTAACTTAGTAACAAGCCAAATTTTGAGGAGGAAAACTTTATGAACCACAAAGTTAACAAAAAGAGCAAGATCCTTAATTCAGATGGCAGCATTCTCCGCATAAGTTCTCAGATTATGCTAAACCATAATGTGATTTGTGTTTGATGTGTGTAAACCCAGCAATTGTGGTTTATAATCTATGATTTATGCTTGTGTTCTATATATCAACTATGGCTTATTCAACAAAACATGATTAACTTATTGTTACATTATATCCTCCTTCTCGTCCAGAAATTCAGGATGGCATATGCAGCACTATTTCTTCCAGCATACATATAGTTATCAGCTAATTTTATTCCACAATGACCCTTTGAAATAGCCTGGGCTGAAAAAAAATGCTTGACCTGAAGTCATCCATTGGCTTCCATGGCTGAAGGTGGATTTGAATCTGCTTCTCTCATTGTAATTCATACAATACCTCTGGATATAATTTTTGAGCCAGCTATATATCCAGTTAATTATCATGCCTTCCAGCCCATGTATAATTAGTATGATTGAAAATGAATACAGTACTAGCATCAGCACCCAATTTCATCGTGATGTATCAGTGCCTTACAAACTGAAGACAAACAGGCATCAGGGCAAGACCAACCTTATTACTATCATTAGTAGCCAATTTGTTACGTATTTGTCTGAGTTACAATTCAACTCTGCTCAAATGCAATTTATTGCAGTTTACAATTAAACTAAAAAAAAACAAACAAGGGAGATTAATAATCTTTGGTCATTTTAGTTATGAGAGATGTTGATGATTCTGCTTAACCCTCATTATTTAATAAATGAAAACAAGTACAGAACTGTCAACAAGGTTTTAACTGAATGACGCAACACCTAGGTTCTGCAGAACACAAGGATCTGCCCATATTGCAAAACTTCACAGTACAGACTTTACAATTCCATTGCGTTCCTTCAAAAATGCAGTTTGTATTTCAGCTGTTTCAACAAAAAGTCTTGGAACTGATACATCAGTTTGATCCAAATGGAAATGACATTATTACAATGAATGAAACAGCAGCATAGAAAGAACACTGAAATTCTCAACTGAGATCTGGGCAATGTGAGGGATATAAATAGAAAACATAGTCCTGCCAAGCATCATTTGAAGATGGGAGACAGATAATACATTTTAAAAGGATTAAAAATACAGAGTGATACATAGTAATGAGCTAGGTTTACATATAAAGCCATAAATTATGATTTATATGGAAGAGTGGCTGGCTCATAACAAAAATCATATGGTTTAGTGCAATGTACATTTCTTTTATCCCTTTATGATGTCTGGTTAAATAGTATTCCCATATTTCTAAAACAGTACTAAAATCCATAAAAATCTATCAAAGATAGAAATAGGATAAATGTATACACCACAATGATTAGTCTTTAAAACTGCTTTTAACTCTTAGAAAACAGGCGAGGCCATCATTTCATTGAGTCCACTACTGCGATTCACCGTGACTCTCCCAAGAGTTCTGACAGATGTCTTTCCAAGCCTTATCACCAGAAAATCTCAAACTGAAGATCCTAGAAATAGAATGCTTACTCCATGCACAGGCCTCTGATCCCTCTCTTCAAGACTTTCAAAGCTTATAGCTAGGAAGGTGGAAAACAACTCTTCTGGGTAGCATTATCCCAGGATGCTCATCTGAAGAGGACCTCCTCTCCCAAACTCTTGTTTAAGTATCCAAAGCAACATGAACACAATGGAGATAGATTAGGGTATCACAGCATCTTCAATGAAATAAATTACATTCCATTTTTCTGAAAAATGTATTTATAATAGCCTTCTTCCAGCCAATGTTTTTCAGATGTGCTAGTACCATATTCCCCATCATTGCAGTCAGTGTGATTATTGCTCATACTGGTTGTGAACACATTGAGTTCTAGCCTTTCTGAAAGCCAGCTGGTTAGGGAAAGCTGCTTTCCACATTTACCAATCAAGGACTTTTTTGGCCATTTCTTTCTTTCTCCCATATCGCCACACCTCTTCCTGCTGCCTGTATCGAGCCTCTTGGAAAGTTTTCTTTACTTGATCAGAAAATCCAGGACTATCTTCTTGCAGAACATTCACACACTGTAGGATGAAAGGAGTCCTCTCCCATGGGAGTGGTTTATTCCGTGGCCTCATGGGTATGACACTATTATATTTGTGTGGGATGGTCAGTGCACCCAAAAGAGAAGTGTAAGATTGGAATTCACACCAAAGATCTCTTAAGAAGTTTTCTGTCAGCAAGATAATTATCCAGGCAGAATCGTTCATGGCATTAGTTAAATTTTCTAGCAAATGCCTACCACTAGGCATTTCTGCAAAGATTAGTCCTGGCTTGATACAATACTCATTTTGTAACAAGTCTTGGACTCTAATGGCTTCTTCTATGTCCTCCTCAGCATGAAGAATCACAAACCTGTAAAACCTATCTTCAGCATCCTCATCGCTGCTGTCTACTTCTTGGATACTGGGATGGCAACAGGTTTCTAATGTGGACTTTTCATTGAAGTAGTGTTCTCCTTGACTCACATAGTTAGTCTTCATGCTGTTCTTCAGAAAAAAGGGATAAATTCTTTTGGAAATAATGTTTCCCATTGTGGCAAACTCTTAAAAGTAAAGAGACTGTATCCTCATTCCTCCAGTCTGTAAAACAAATGGAAAATAAGGAATTATATAATTAAATCATCAGAGTTAACCTAAAAAAATGTAGGCCAAGGAATATGGGCAGAAGTTATTAAAGGGTTGTAAAAGCAAGACTGGAGAAGAAAATATAGCATCAAGATACAACAGAAAAGCCCAAGAGCCTCTCTTATTTCCAGAGGGAAGTTGAGTGCAGAGTCTGGAAAAGACTGGTATTCCTTAAAGTATGGTCTGTGGAACAACCATGTTTCCAAAAAACTTCAAAGGCATTCAAAGTCTTGTCTTTTCTGTCAACATATCTTTGTGAAACATGCACTTTTACTGCACACTGCAAGCTACACTAAATAACGAAATAAGCTTTAATAAACCTTACTGCTAATGCTGATGAAAGAAGCCATTATTAGCAAGTCTGTAGTGGTTAAGGTAACAGGCAAGAAACCAGGAGACAGTGAGTTTTAGTCCTGCCTTAGCCATGAAGCCAGATGGGTGACCTTGGACCAGTCCCTCTCTCTCAGCCCTAGAAAGCAGGCAATGGCAAACCATTTCTGAAAAACTCTTTCCAAGAAAACTGCAGGGACGAGTCCAGGCAATCGCCAGGAGTCAACACTGACTTGAAGGCACCAAAAACAAACAAACAAACCAACCACATGCCTTTACAATTTATAATCAATGTGTTAAATGTAAGAAAGAATAGATTATTCCAACATGCTTTATTTCATATTCCTTTTAGAGTTGAAAATGATGATGATTATGAATGTACCATAACTTAATATTATGGTATCCCAATCCCTGGTATCTCTAAGATCATATAAAAGATCTCTCAGACTGCAGTGTACCACTACCAATCAGGGTCAAGCCAGATAGCAGCTTGCTCTAACATGTACCTCTGTCGCTTTTCTCATGTCATATTTAGAACAGCAAATATTTAGGCAGTCATAATTTTCTCCTCCACGTTTCCTACATGATGTTCTTCATTATAAATTCATTTTTTGGTTTCATTCATTCATTTAGTTTTTAGATCCTGTCTTTCCTTCTGGAGCTCAAGGCAGTGAACATAGCATTCCTACTTCCAATTTTTCCCCAACAACCACCTACAGATCAGTCTGAGACAGAGTGACTGACCCAAAGCAATCCATTGGATTTCCACAGTTGAAGGTGGACTTGAATGTGGTTTTTTTTTTCAAGTTCAAGTCTACCACCTTAGCCATGACAGGTAGTCCTTGCTTAGCAACTGCCTCATTTAGTGACCATTTGCAGTTACAATGGTGATGAAAAAGTAACTTTAGAACCAATCTTTGTATTTATGACTTTCACAGGTCTCTAAAGCAAAGGAAAGCTGAAGTAACATCATAAGCATGGTCAGTTTCACTTAGCGATCACTCTGCTTAACAACTGAGCTGTTGGTTCCAACTGTGGTCACTAAATGAAGGCTAGCTGTATATCAAACTGGGGTTTTGCACAGCACTGCCCTCTAAAGCACCTGGCTAGTGTACCATATATAGACAGACCTTGTTGATATATTTCATATTTTGTTTTCCTAAATGGTGCTTCCATATAATCCTGACTGTATAATGACACAATTGGTGAAAACTAATTTGTGACTTTATCATTCAACCATAGGGGTATTAAGAAGTTGGCATCTGCTCCTAGACAGTTTACAGATTTCCTGGCATCAGAGATGGAGGATTTTGTATGATGGGTCAAAGTGAAAGTTGACTTGTTTTTTTATTTATCCTACATATATTATAAAACTGTGAGGCTAATGCTTACAAAGGAGAGGAGAAGTAGCAAGGATGACCTGCCTAATAATCAAAGTAGAAGGCTCAGTATTCTGCAATGAAGTCTAAACAGATTCTTATGCAAACAGAAAGATGTAATTCATTTAATTAGGCTAATGTATGGATTTTATTTGGAATTATGTGTGCCTTCTTCCTTTTCAAATAAAATCTTTTATTTCTAAAGATTTGACTTCATTAATTTAAAATAGAAACATTTCTTCCCTGTGTGCAAGACTTCATGATTACACAGCTATTCCTTATGTTTCAGAATGTTTGTTACAATGGATGTTGGACAGAAAGATCCGAAGCACCTTACTTTCTGTTTTCCTAGAACTGGGCTTACGCACAAATACCTTGATGGGAGTGCTTCAAACTCCTCCAATGAACAGACTATAATATGTCAGGTGATTTGTCCTGACTGGTGAGAACTGGAAGCGGGCACCTAACAGAAAATGTGTTTTGTCTCATGGTATATAACAAATGCATTGGGGCTCAATGTTTGGCTGGACAATTCCACAAGGGTAATGATTTAGCCTTTTACAGCCAAGAAAAAATCTGAAGGGGTCCTGCATAGAAAGTAGGGCCAGACTGGTGAACTTCACCCCGTTCTCCATTCATCCCCCTCCATACATCTATGTGTCAGTCCAACTGATCTTCATAGCATGTTCCTATCCTCTGCCTCCCCTTAGCCACTGCCATGCTTGAATTCAAGCATGACACATCTGCCTGGCCCACTCAGCCCTCTCTCAGATCTTCCTTTTATTAACTACCATATGCCCTCCCAACCCACTCTGGGACATCTCCTACCCCACAACAGTCTGCAGGAACACACATTCTGGGTCCATGCCCAAATGAAACATACATGCTTCAGGCAGAGACTACCTGATCAGTGCACAGAACCCTATCATAGTTTTCTGTTACAGGGGAGACCTTGGCAGAAAGGATCTGCCAGTGAGGTTTAAATCACCACCCTTCCTAGTTCCTATCATCCAATCAAGCCACTCAAATTATGTGATTACTACTATAAAAAATCTGTTACACCACTGAAGGAGAATTGGGGGAGGGGGGACAAACTAAACCCACAATCTAAATACATCTTCCCAGGGAAACTAAACGTTCAACTCAACCATAAAACATTTAGATGGACAAAAAATGCTGATTGGTTAGGAAAAGATACTGGGAGGCAAGAGCAGCTCTGGAAAAGCAAAAGAAAGTAACTCCCTAGAAAGAAACAGTTCATGAAATACTTTGTTTTTCAAAACCCCACTGTCTTTGTAGTCCTGCCCCAGTACCTCATAGTTATGCCCTAATTACCTCACTGACCTCTCTAGATTCATATGCTATATCCAATCAAATACTTTCCTTTTATTTATATCCAATCAGATACCTTGCTGCTGTATCCAGTTGCTTATATTCTCTAACTTGCATAAGTCTATAAAGAGGGCCTGTCTTTGCCTCCAGCACTATCACAAACAAATTTGTACTTCAGTGTAATTGTGTCTTGGTCTCTGATTCAAATGTACCCCTGGAAAATTACTCTACACCACTAACCTGGAAAATACTCTGTAACTTTGTTTGGACTTTTCCATCTCTAAACTCTTTGGCATACCTGTAAAAAAGCACACACAAATTTTAAATTTTCAGATAATTACACATCAGTAAAACTTTATAGAAATAGTAATACTATCATTATTTCTCACTTTTTCACAAATCCTACCAAAACAAATTACAATCACAAATAAGAACACAGTAAATATTCTTAAACAACTATTTTAAAACTAGTCTGGTATTCTTCCCACAGACTACATAGAGGGAATTTGTCTCTATTTTTAGGGGAAAGCACCACCTTAGAGCACAGTTACATTACATATGTTGTATTAGTGAGTGTATGTATGTACATGCATGCATAGATATGAGCATGCACACACACACACACACACAATTGTAACTGAAAACTGGTTTGGATTCTCACATTTTTGTGTTCCAATTAGGCAGTGAATGTTTAAATTTGAATAACATATACCAAAAGTGAGTAAGCACATTTCATTCAGCACCGAGATGAAAAGGTTGGCGTCCTAAAAGAGAGATTGTAAACTGCACAGCAACATAGGCCTCAGAGACACATGAGTTAATAACTTCTTGAATTCCTGATACAACTAGAGAAGTTTGACTTAGCAAATATAAAAATGTGGTGGTTCAGAGTTTTAATTCCTTTAATCTAGCCAGCTTCAATTCCACAACAGGCAAATATAATTCCTAATCCTAACCACCATTTCAAAGTAGACTGAAGACTTGCCCAAGATTTATGCTGGGTCAAGAGTCCATGCTGAGGGGGGAAAGTGCACATGGGAGCTTGAAAATAAAACTACATTAATGTTATGTGAAATACTTTCATACTGCCACTAAATCCATTCCTTTGTCCTTTAAAAGCAGTTTCTCGGTTTTCCCACAAATGGCTGCAAATAAGTCTCCAGATACTAACACTTATTCTGGAATTGTTTTACTCAACAGTAATCCCACAAATACAATTTGGCTAGATTAGTTTCTAGCAGACAGGAATAAAGCCATATAAACACAGAAGATCTGCTACTACAATCTTTTCATGGTACACAGAAATCAAAGCCGAGTTGGGGGGGACCATTCTGATTTCTCTGAATTGGGCTGAAAGGCCTGATCCCATGAGTTGCCAGTCTCAGGAGCCAGCAGGCAATCAATCACCTGAAGCAGACCAGGGTGACAATGAGCAGGAGCAGGTGAGGACAAACTCAGATCATGAGGGGCCAGATTCTAGTAGGGTGGCTATCCCCTTGATGTGTTGGCTACTTTGAAGGACGGAGCTAAGGCAATCTGCTTGGCTACTCAGACAGCAAGGACCACCGTGCTCCTACCTCAGCCATGCCCGCAACTAGAGCTGCTTAGCAGCAACTACTAGGACCTTGCTCTCCATTGGAAACAACTCTACAATGTCAAATCTGTGTCCCCTTGTTCCTTGGTCTACTCTCAGACTCTAGGCTTTATGACTCAGACTGGCATTTGACACAGACCATTTTTGTTTCCCTGCCACTGCCTCACTCTGTTTTCCCGGACCTGCATGATGTTGGCTGTCCATCTTCTAGCTCTGGCTCTTGTCTCCTATGACTATGACTCTGGGCCAGATTCTGTGGACTTTTGGCTCTGGATCCTTGAATCCTCAGCTTCAACCCATTTTGGCATTGCTGGTGCTGCACTCTGGCTACCAGACAAAGTCTCCCCTTCCTTGTATTTCCCCTGGAGCTTGCGGGTGACTGCTTAGTTGAACATTCTACTGCCTTCTTATGTGCTGGAATTACAATCCCATTGTTAAACCAGTTACAACTTGCTACTGGGTGAGTGCTCTGTTTAAAACGGGGCACTATAGGCCTAATATAGGCCTAAGCTTCAGGATTTAAATCCTATGCCTTCATCTCTCACCCTTCAAGTTAATCAATATTTAGCCATTCCTTCATGGCCCTGAGCTTGGAAGGTATTTGTTCAATGTTTACATAACCATTTAGTTTGCTGACATGAGATAGCTTGTACATCACAAGAACTGGTAAAAATAGTGATCTTCATTAGAAAGGCTTTCAACTAAAACCTGTGGGAGGTAGAGTGAAATCCCAACTTTGGTCAAGTATATCAAACCCTGGATTTGACACTAACAAGGATTCAGATAAATTAGAACAGGTTGAAACTAATTCCTATGAAAAGCATTTGAGGGAACAAAAAAGAGAAAAGGAATGCAAAAGTACCTGAAAGCAAGTCATACAGAAGATCAAGATCTGTTCTGTACAGTACTAGAGGGCAGGACATGAAATAACAGGAGATACAGTATTAGTGGAAGACAAGACATGAACACAATTCAATGTGGGTATGTGTCTAGTTTTGGACCTTTACTCTGGTGGTTAAGAGTGGCAAAGGATCAATATATATATTTGCTCTTTTTGTATCTCTGGCATGTCATCCAAAGTACAGGCCTATTTAAAGTGACTTCAGATCCTGTTGAGGAATGGTGGCAAGAAGAAATTCCAGCAAGCTGCTAAAATCTTTTTGCTAAGCATTTGGTGGACAAAATCACACGTATTCATTCAGGGCTGGGCAGAGTCCAATGAGTTGACAGGGATGTTGTTTTGTGCTGTGATCTGGGATTCATTTGATCTTATGGATTCCAACGAAGTAGAGAGAGTCTTCCATAAAGTGAACACTGCCACATGCTGGCTGGATCTTTGCCCCTCCTGGTGCATTTGAGTGGCCAGCAATGGAGATGGGCTAGATTCATTCCACAACTTTCATCCCCTGCGATAGCCACAACTTTGTGGACCAGTTGCAAGTCCCCTTGTTCAGCGCCATGGTAATTTTGAATGGTTGCTGAATGAGTGGTTGTAACTTGAAGACTACCTATATTACAAATGTTGCTTATATAATATAGATGATATTAGTGGATGGCATTGCTTAGATGATAATGAAAAAGAAACAAGTAGAGTTGGGTCTGGCTTGTATTGAATGGGAGATCATGAGGAAAATCTCAGAAAAAAGCAAGGGCAAACCACTTCCATTGTTGCAAAAACCAAAATTTGAGGGAAGCAGTATCTATACATAATGAGTATGTGTGTACATTTCAACTTCTCTCTAGAGCAGTGTTCTCAACCTCAACAGCTTTAAGATGGGTGGACTTCAACTCCCAGAAATCCCCAGCCAGCATGCTGGGGTGATGTCACCAGATAGAGCATCTTCAGTACATATTATCAGCCAAAGCAAGAAAGGTGACTCAAAACAGCAACCCTCGATTTTGCTATCAACATGTTTGACTAATTCTTCCATTTTAAACCTGAACACATCCTTTCCAAGCAGCCAAACCATTTCCATAACCTGTCCAGTAGGATCTTTCACACTTCCAGAAATGTGTAACGTAACACAAGAAGACAAGAAAAAAAAATAACTTGTATTTCCTCAAAAGCCACTGGCTTTCACATACTCCCCTCAAGCCAGAACCTTCCATTTGTTTTGGCCTTCAACTGCTCTAATTCGTAGCCACTTTGGAAGAGCTGGGCTAGAAATTAGGTGGTTCAGGATCTCCGCTCGACTACTACGCTAACGCTCCCTCCCCCCCGGTTGAGAAGCGACATTTACCAGCTTCCTCGGGCGAGGAAATTCTTCGTAACCCGGCGAATACTGTATCATCGGGAACCACCAACGCCTCGCAAACCCTCCGCTGGAAATGACGACACGGCGGAGTTATCGGGTCTCAGGTCGGCGAGGGGAAGGAAAAGAGAAGCGGAGGCGGGGCTGCGCCGGCTGACGCGCTGCGACTTCGTTCTTTTATTCGCTATTCCCGAGCGCAGTTCTCGGATTTTTAGTTTACAGGGTTCTGTTCCGCTAGACTGTTATCCTAATTCAGGTTTGAGCCCTCATGGTTGCAAAATCTAAGTTATTTATTATCCCCGTGGTGGCTGTATTTGCACGGCATACTGAGTCACGAATTAGTTTTATTTTAGCCGATCCTGTGGTGGGATGGAACTCAGCTTCTGATTCTTTTGTTCACGAGTGGTTCATGAAGCTGAATAACCGTACTAAGCCTATGGTTTGCTGATGGTTCAGGGTGCTGTACACACACAGGTGTTTGGGTTAATTCAAGAAACCATTATTAAGTCAACCTGTCGCTTTATCCCAGCCAGTCAAGAGACAAGCAGTTAGAGGCCTTAGCTAAACCAGTCTTTAGGATACACTAAATTTTATTTGTAAAAAATATTGAGATAGCTAGAAAAAAAATTAAACTGTATTTCACATTTTCCATCTGTATTCTTCCATTCCAGCTCTGGATTTTCCTAGTACATACTGTAGAATGCGTAGAACAGGATTTTCTACTGTTCTGTGAGAATTTTAATGCTGGTTACAGATGGCAATAGACCCTTTTCACTAGATCTTTGTGTAAAAGAGCTACTCTTACTCACTTAAGCACAATTTAAAACTTCTGTGCTATTGCTTTCCATTGTCAACTGTTCGCATGCCACAGTAAGCCACCAACTAGTTTTCTGTGTTGTGGAATCCCACTGAATTATCTATGGTTCTGTGTATCATGTGAACCCAGAAGATTGAACAGGGCTGGCTATTCATTATATTGGAAGTGTAAAAATGGGTGAGGGGACTCTTATTCATATGATAAGTTCTTGTCATATTTTTGCCACATTTTGGTTTGATATCCATATGTTTGTTAATATAGTACAAGGTACAAAGATCAATAGAGTTTACAGATATGAATGTATTTGTGAATTACATACCAAGAACTTGGAACTTACCTTTACAGGAAGAATTAATAGATTTAATGATGAGAGCAGCAAAACAAAACAAAACAATAACCTCACTGTTCAAATCTGGAAACACTAAAACCCTAGATTTACTGTCTTGGATCACAGATGTGTGTTTACTTTCTGTATGAGTTGGCTATTTATTGGTGTAATGGAAATACTGATCAATATTTCATTTGATTAAGGTTTAATTGCTTAAAACTAGGGTGAATTATATTTTGTATACATGTTTCTTTTTTTGTTTTCCTTTCTTTTTCCATATATGAAAGTATTGTTTTTTAAAAAGAAAGAAAATAAAATTGTGTTATTTTAGTAAAAAAGTATAGTTAAGATAATCATGGGTAAAATGCCATGCTAAACAACTATTGCGTTTTTGGCTGGCTTTGCACAACTAAACTTTGCGGCTTACCATGACTTTCAAGCCTGAAATAGCAATGGGAGATTTCCAGATATCAGGACTTTTAATTCCTAGCAAAGTTTGTAATCACCTACAAAATGAATTTTGTAAACCTACAGTGATGGTTGTTCCTGGTTTAGGTACATGGTAAGCCACAAACCTTTGTTATAGTGCAGTACATGAAAGGTAAAATGGAAGCATGTATGTTTCTTAACTGAACCTTTTTGCTTGGTGTGTCGTCTACACAGCCTTATAAATATGAATTTTCTTTTAGAAAACAGAAATTGAACAAGCTTCTAATTCCAGAAGCTAATTCTAAATTATTGATATCAAACATTACGCTAAGCTATGGTTTATGAAATAAATTATAAATGACTCATTCACAGCCATTTGTAATTTATGCTGAACCATGAACTATGGTTTAAAAGCCAGAATTGCTAAGTTCACACAACACATTTGCCAAAAGTAAATGAATCACTGTATGGATTAATGCAATTTGGAAAGTTAATAATTGGCTTTAGAGTTCTTGTCATGCTCTTTAATCAAAATACTCCAAACTTGATTTATTCAAATGTTGTGTGACTGTCACAACGGAGACCCTTGTAATATAATATATACATAGGGGGTAGGAATGGTAGGTAAAACCAGTGGGACATTGAACAGTATTTGGTAAAGTGCATTGAAAGTAAAAATCCATGGGACATCATTATACAAGAGCATGACAAGAAGGTAAAAATCCATGGGACATCATTATACAAGAGCATGACAAGAACTCTAAAGCCAATTATTAACTTTCCAAATTATACAAGATGGTAATTTCCATGTCTTCTTAAAATTCAGCATTTGATAATGGGTGGTTTAGTTGTATGAACATGAAAACTGAAAATTTCTAGTTGTTATAGCTAGGAGCCCCCATTGAACTGCTCCATATTAAAACTTTTCCCCAATTTTATCCCTCCAAATGTGGGAGGACTTGCAAAACTCTTAAACAACATCATTTTTATAGTTTCAACATATCTGAAAGATGCTAGATTAGGGAAGGCTGAATTAGAATCTACCTCCAAAATTCAACAGGGTATTCATTTGCAAAGTTGCTGTTATAGTTTTTACTAGATGACTTAGTTAGCATACCAAGAACATTAATTTTTTGGTTGCCTACAGATGGGTTTGTATTGGGCCTTTCACTGATTTAATTCCTTTATTTACAAATGCTCCCCAAATAAACTTCTCACCATTTCACAAAGAGCAGTTCTCAAATTATCTATTGTAGCCCTTTTCTCTCCCATTTCCCAAGGTTTCTTCAGTTGTGTCAGCACAGTACTTGACATTCAAATTATCTTTAGAATATTTGCCCAGTCATGTGATTTCCAGAAGATGAAAAAAGGAGTTTCCACAGCATCAATTTTTTATTAGTTTCTTCTTTCCTGTTGTTTCCCCTTCCGCTTCTGCCATTAAGTCTCTTCCCCTTTCCTTGCAGTGTTGTAATCTGAGATAGTTAAGTCTGTAGCCAGAAACTCATATTTCTTTATTTAGTCATGAAACACCCAGTTTGTAGTAATCACTAACTTCCCCAATCTGATGCCCTCTGTGGTATGCTGGTGAATTGCTGTTATCTTACTAGTTCACTTAAATGTATGTGCGTGCACATGCATATCTAGAAAGATACGGTTGTATCTTGACTAGTATAAAAGAATGAGAATGTATTGTCTCTTCAGTTGAATGACTAATGACTAACTGAAGCTTCTTTCCCACAAAGGAATCAATGGGATTGGTTAGTAAGATTCTGTGAGCAATTACAACAGGTGAAAAGTAGGCTGAAAGGGAAAAAATGAGGTACATGTTAGTCTGGCCTTGGTATATTTCTGTGTCTGTGCATGTGTAATAAATTTATATTTTAAAACAAAACTTAAACATACCCAGCGTCTTGATCGATACCTTCAGCAAGGTCAGAGTATCCTGAGATTTGCAACTACCTGACAAATAATTAAAGGAGAGGGGAAGGGAAACGACAAGCTGGAGGTGATGGGAATTGCTGTCCAAGATATGCTGAATGCCAGTTTATGAAATATTGTTTGATCTGATACTTTAACTGTCAGTTATATCCACATCTCTATATCTGCAATTAATTTATGTGGCAGTCTCACATGCAGTTTATGGAAGTAAGTTTTACAGTACTAAGCAAAACCAGGAGCCTATTGTGAGAATTTGTAAAGAGTGGGTTGTCCTTCAGCATTGCCTTTGATTCTAAAATTGAGATAGGATAATTTTAAAATCCAAATCTAAAGTAAGATGGCAACTTTTTAGAGGATTTTACAATTGCTGTCATAACCCAACTCTCCAAATAATAACCACTCAACCGAACCTTATGTTAATTTTATTATTTCTTATATAATTTCACAGGGCTATTTTTTGTCTTTTTGACACTAAGAAAGGTTTATATCAAGAACTGGACATTTCATATAATTATACATATATATGGACTTCAAGAAAATTAAATTCAAAAACCTGGAATCATGATATGGTTAAACTGTACTTTAATCATATACACGTGACATAGAGTCTTTGAATAAGTCTTATGACCAAATTGTGTTTATAGACATGTTTAAACTTACTTTGGAATTTGCTTTTGTCTATTAGCCACTGCTAATAATAATGTATGCTAGAACCAAATGTGGCAACTTCAAAATTTCTGAAATGTATGAAAGGAACATTGAAAACATATAAACTGCAGCAAGATACAAAATCCTTTAGACAGAATCCAGATAGTTTAAGCCACTGTCCCAAACCCTATCCTACAAAAAGAACAGGCCAAGTAGTCTCATTATAAATTAAGGAACTAGATGCAATAAGTAAGTATGGTTGGACTGAAATAATGCCTGGTAACCACCTAGAAGTTTGAAAAATAATATTTATATCCATATTAGGTGGTCAAATGTGGATTTTTCTCCTTTAATTGCATCCTATCAACTGTCTTACAAATTCAGCAAAGCAAAACAGCACCTGAGCTCTATTGTTAAGAAACTTACTCTCTTGTTAGATATAGTGCTTTTAGGTGGTTATTGGTTATAAGACTTTTCTCCATCATACATGTAACCAGTTTGATATAGACGGCCAAAGTTTGAAATGAAAAAAATCAAACTAAAACCCTCACTTGACCTGTTTACAAAAAAGTGTGTAACTTTACTCTGAACAGATAGGCCCTTATGAGATTTCCTCACATTTATGGCCAAATACCACTTCTGTCAATGTTTATTTGTTTTACAGGATTTCTGTGGGGCTCTTGAATATGAATCACTAAAAGGAATGGAAGTTAAAGCAGTTCATCCTAAAAACTGATTTAACTACCCTGCTTTCGCAAATGGCATGTAGTTGACCTTTACAACAAACAACAAGTACATTCAATACATTTATTTTCTGCAAGCTCAAGTGAAAGACCAAGCACATTCTACAGCAAGTTATTATTGCAGAATTTCAAACAAATACAGCACTGGAATATTCCCCATCTCTAAACACATCAATGTTCTATCTTCTAAAAAGCCACATCCACAAAGTAAGGGAAAATATTAGGCATTTTTAACATCTTCAAATACCCAGACTCAGTGATAAAGTACCTCTTTCCCTCCCTTTTACAGCACAATAAGGTAGTTCACACAGAAAAAAATGTAAAGTGTGCTTACAGAAAATCTACAATGGAACAGGGAAAAAATGGGTCAATTAACTGCACAAAAGTACTATGAAATATCCATCTTATTTTAGTGAGTGTAAGTTCTTAAGCTTAGTCGTCTTAATATGTTTGTAACCACTACAAGTAATTTCTTCATCCTCTCAGACAAGCCTTGTTATCCACTTAGAAAATGCTATTTTTACTGAGAGGAATGAGGCTTACTTTCAATGAGTATGATTGCTGTGGTAATGTTTATTTCTTTTTGGCAGCCTGAAACAACAGTGTGCAATCTTAAATACCCATAAAAACATTTGAGATGTTAGAAAGCAGATGTAAGTAGAACGATTACTAATTATATAGCAAAATCCCTCATTCCCCAAATCTTGTAAGCTACTTCAAAAAGTGGCCTTTTAGCACAAAAGTGGTAGTAGTTAGGATAGGGCAACACATAACTGTAAGCACACATGAGAAGCTGTCCCCATCAATTTAGAATGTTTAATCAGCAAATTTATTCACAGAAGTCATCTGATCATGCCCAACATTTGCATACATTGCTTAATAAATCAATTATTTAGACTAAAACACTCAAGCCATTTATGGCCATGCAATTCTACCTTATTCAACATGTTGGTCTCCAGATCTCTGGGACTGTAACTCCCATGATTACTGACCATCTTTAAGATTTATGGGAATTATAGTTCCAAACATCTAAAGGGCATCTGGTTGAACAGCTCTGACCTAATATTAAAGAGACTATGAGGCTAGCTTTTAGCTGAAAGTTACTTAAACCAGTGCATTTTTTGCTTAGTCCTATCAAGTTCAAGTGAAAGTGAAAACTTCATATTGTTAAAATTTAGATGGTTTCTGTCAAAGCTGACTGATTTAGTTCTTCAAAGTAGCAGCAACAGCAGAACTCTAAGACTCAGCTTCAAGAATTAGAAGGCATTTTCCCCATTATTTAATTTAAAAAGCAAAATGCAATGACCGACTTCTTTCAATGCACAGAATTTTTTTTTCCAGGATTCTATCTAAAATTGGTACAGTAAAATAATATATATATATACACCAACAAAAATTATTCAAGACCCTAGAATTTCCATAGTCACTCAAAACAGTGCAGTACAAGGCTTTGAGACTACTGTTAATTATATGTGTTTCTGTTTTCATTTCAATACTTCCAGACTTGCAAGGTTAGACTGCACTCTCTTTTTTATAAGGACAATCTTTTAATTCACCACTTAAAGGATTTTCTTAAAGCACTATGTACTAACAAGTAAGTCTCATTTGTTAAAAAAATAGCAACTATTAGATCTTTCAGCAGATATGAAAGAAAACCCCAATGTATAACAAATAAAAGGCTGTCTTTTTTTCTGTGACAGCTTTTGGGGAGTATGAATTTCACAACTTTGAAGTGAGAAGGCTAAAGGTTTTTAAAATGTTCCCTGTATTTAATTGTTCTTTAACTAGAAATCATTCAAATAATAGTATATTTTTCAAACAGTGGATATGAAGCTTGTTATGATCCAACACGAGTTGTAGTGGTTCTTTTGTCAGAGAAGAAGCTTTTGAGAAGAAATACCTGCCCAATGCTAACTACAAGTAGAATGATGGCTTCTCCTATTGACCAATAAGCCACTCGTGTATTTAAGTCTTCTGCTCTGCTGCGGCCTTGTGCTTCCCTCAGCCGAAAATGTGTCTGGTAATCAATGACAGACTTTAGAGCTTCATGAATTGAAACACATGCTGACTCCATCTAGAGACAGAAAAACAGAGCACTGATGAGTAACACAGACTGAAATCTAATCATTACTAATAAAATGAAAAATAGATTCTTAGGTAAGAAAATTATGGGAATATAAATTTAAATCCATATTTAATCACAGCGTGCAAGTATAACATGTAGAGTTTTACAAAAACCAAAAGGGAAGGATTACATTCTGCAGAATGAGAGTTATCATTCTCATACAGAATTAATCTAGTTGCTCATACTTTTCATTAGAACAAAAATAACCAACTCTAAAAATATTTCTGTAATGAAACAGATGAATAATTACCAATACCTACGTCTTCCTATCCATATAGAAACTGTATGTCAGTCAGATGCAAGAACATTAGAGCCTGATGCAAACTATATATTGAAAACTTTTGAATTTTAATTCTAAAATTGAAACTAATAATTTTATAATTGAAATCCTAAAATGAAACATGAATACATATGATGAACTTTGTAATCATATGAACTATTTACTTGCTCAATTGGACTTCCTCATTTCACCTCTCTCCCCTGAATAACTCAAGAAATTTCTTCCAATCCTCTAAAATACATTTTGGAAATGGGGTGGAGAAAAGATGCAGGAGAAAGGACTGAGCCCATCTCTGTATTGCTGACAGAAGCTGCTCTGTTGGTGGGAAGATTGTTACTAAAGCTGCAGTCTCAGAGTCCTTGGCCAACAGTGATGGATGCTACAAGTTGTAGTTAACCAATATCTGGAGATTTACAGGTCTTCCAATTGGGCTACAGTAAAAACCACATACTTTGGGGGATTTTTTACACACAAATAGCCTAGAGGTTTTTTTTGGGGGGGTGCCTTTATTCTATTTTTTGTTCCTTCTCAGAGGACAGCTGGTAATAAAGTGTTCTGTATTAGAAGAGGGGACAATCCAGCTGCCGAAATCTGATGTTTTCACTGTCTTTTTATCCCTCCTTTGACTCATGTTAGCACCATTATTTTACCTCTCATATGTAACTACACAGTGGTCTGCACATTGGCAAACAAAATATTGAACTGTCTACTGCAGTGGAGTTTAAAATTAAGATTTACAAATCACTCAAGCATATCAAGCTCCAATTTATAATATTTATACAAAAATATTTGGTAATTTATTCAAAAATATTTGGTAACAAAAATATTTGGTATTGTAAATGAAAAGATGACTAAATGCTACCCTCCCTTGTATTCTC